ATATGTTTGCTTTTTAACTAGTGTGGACTACTTATATTGGGCAGCAACAATTTCCTCATGTTTTGGAACATGCCTTATCTGTATTTACCTTATGTCTTCTCTTAAAGTGAAGAGATTTTGGGCCTTTGCAGACTGCCAGAAATACTGCAAATTGAGTCCACTTTAATTGCCCTGACTCAGTGCTAGGGAATCATGGGAACTGTAGTTTATTGTGGCACCAGAGCTCTCTGACAGAGAAGTCTCAATGTCTCAGAAAAAAATACAATTCCCATGATTCCCTAGCATTGAGCCAGGGCAGTTAAAGTGGACTCAATTTGCACTATTTCTAGCAGTGTGCAAAGGGCCTTTGATTCCTAAATGTAGTGTTAACATTTCCCATGTATCACCACAGCAAGGCATAGATTTCCATATTCTAGAAGGCAAAACACCAGGGTTGTTTTCCAGTTGCAATTATTCTTCTTGTAACTAGAAACCAGCTTTCACATTATATTTTCTGGCTATGACCCCTGAAACTCTGTTGCTCTAAAAGTTGATTTTTAAAATTATCCCAGATTTTCAAGTGTTCCCACATATTAAAAATCTACCTTGCCATAAGTCCAACCAAGTTCTATTTTATTCATTCCCCAGAGTTCATGAATATTTTCAGCAAGCTTGTCTCTTATCTTCTCAAGATGGAGAGGCAAAACAATCTATGAAGAAATTAGAAGACATTACAACATGATAAAATAATTCTCAGTAAAAGGCTATTTTTTATTAAGGAGGAAGGAGATCATGGCTCACATTAAAAGAGCAACATACTATTAAGTAAATGTGCCATGATGCATTAAATATTCAGTCAAATATATGTAACATATTTTTTAAAATTAAAACATACCTGGCTAGTGTCAATTGGACATGGAATAAAATTAGCTTTGGAGACAAATTGTGTTGTACCAAGCAAATCTCTAATTCCATTAGAATCTCTCTTGTATTCTTTCACTGGTTCCAATTTCATCTTCTCTTTTGGAAGCAAAGCTTCATAGCAAGGCACATAACCAGTAGGAGGTAGAAACTTGAACTCTCCATGGCGCCCACCCATTAAGAAACGCACTCTGTCCAAATGTAAATGGGGAGAAATGTAATAATATTTAAGTACGATAATAGTAAAAACAGACCATACATCACTTTTGATAATATAAAAGGTTATTTGTATGTTTTAACCCAGCGACTACAGCATTCTTTAGAAGTGATCTCAGTATTTTTAGTGACTGGCAGTGACTAACATATAAGCTATAGGGTAGCAAAGCTTCCAGCCCTGGAGTCCATTAGGACACACTCTACTCTAGCCACAATCATCACTATAGCTTTTCTACAATATAGCGTTTGTCGATCTGCAATATAGTCTCACATTGGACATGAAGTTACATTTATCTTTTTTCAGCCAGGCAGTTTTGATTAGTGCAATGTACTTTGGAAACTCTTTTAAAACTTCATTGAGTACTAAATACTGCAGCCCATGTTCTTTGTTGGAATGAGATGCTTGTCCTAGCTGTACTAAATTAACATGCTACTCGTCTATGTGTATGAATAGACAACAAAGAAGAAAAACAGGTTCTTTTAATGGACATCTATGGCATTCAAGAATCCACCCTCTACCACCCAGCAGATGTAGACTGGTCTTCTAGTTGGTTTTGTGACTGCTGCTCCAGTGTTTGAGAACTTGGGCAGGAAGACAGGAGCCACACCAAGGAGCACTCCTACTCCTGGGGCTTTCTGACAGAATTTACACCTCTGGCACATTCTAAATAAGATAAAGCTCATAAACCTCAACAAAGAATCATATATTCCATATTGAGAAACACACCAACTTTCCTGCATAGCACTATTGTTCTTTAAAAATCAAGGACAACTCTGGAATTACAAGTCTTGCCTAAGTATCTTTTCTTTTTCTCAGCAGGCAAGCATAATTAAATGCAGCACAAATGAGAGTAAAGTAGTTTCCATAAAATAACATTTGTTGTTGTTGTGTGACTTCTATTAGTTTCCAATTTAAGGTGACCCTATAATGCACCTACCATGATGTTTTCTTGGCAAGATTTGTTCAGAGAGGTTTTTCCTTTGCCTTTCTGTGAGGCTAAGACAGTGCGACTTGCCCAGGGTCACCCAGTAGGTTTCCATGGCCAAGCAGGAATTTGAACCTTTGGCCTCATTCACATTAAGGAAATAAACCGGTGTGGAACCAGTTTATTTATGTGAAGTTCACACTTGCCCCACCCGCAATTGGTGCAGTTTGCAGGGGGGGCAAGTGAAAACCCGCTTAAACTGGTGCATTTGGCACTGGCTCTCTTAGTGGTTCTTTTTTTTTTTTTTTTTTTTTTAGAACCACAGTGATACAAATCTCCATTAGTGAGAATAAACTATCGGATTGATTCAGATCATGCAGGAAGAGGGACTCCCAAGTGCAGTCCTCCCTCCTCCTCCTCTTCTTTCCTCTGCAACTGCCACCCCCTTCCTTCTTCTTCCTTCCTCCTCATCCTTCTCTTCCCTTCACTGCTGCCACACTGCCGTCTTCCCTCCTCCTCCTCCTCCTC